TAAACTCGGCATAGTATAGTTTATGATGGTAATATTTTTGAATATTACAAGTGTTTTAAATACGTGATAAACAGATCGATTGAAACGCCGAAGGCACAAAAATATTATCACCGTAAATTAGCAATAATATAAGCTCTGATAAGGAAGTCTACGACCTCGATCATTCCCGTTCCGGAACACGTTCGTTTTGTATTCAGAATTGGATGTATATGTGCCCTATACAATGACTTGCAGTAGCCGCTGTACACGTCAAGGAATTTGTTTTCCCAGACAAGTCTGGTACCAATCAACCTTTCCCAAAAGGATGAGAGACACGGTTGGTCTTGACATATATCGATCCGGGATTCAATCATCGAACAATGTGCGAGCTGCGCCACTTGCCACTACGTCACTTCCACCTATTAAAACGATTATAGTCGTAAAATAAGGGGTAGAGATGAGTATTTTAGAAGAGCCGATAATAGTTATAAAAACGGAATCATCGTTAAGTAAAAATATTACTTCTGACGAGCGGTTTTCAACAACTTTAAAGGCCCGGTTCACGATAAAAATGGTAACTGAGCTTCTCCTAGGAATACTCAGCGCCCCCCGTGGGTGGTAGAAAGGACCCTCTCGCTCACACGATCTCGGCGCTTAGGGCATAGTGGAAGCTCTGTTGCGGCCGCAACTGGCTTCAACGCCCATCGATCGATGTCACGTTAGGCGAGTGTCGAGACAGTACAGAGTGCAACTATTCGTTCTTGGACCCACACACAACCAGATGATCGCCGGGTGATGAGGCAATGTTTCCTTCCTTTTTTTCTCCTCTGTTATTGCTTTTGCCGCCGCGTTCCTTTATTCAATTTCCTACTCCTAGAGGCTGAAAAAGCTGAGCTACTTTTGCTGTTACTAGGGTTTTTTGTTCACTTATGCTTATGAGTGGATGAATTTTTGCTTATATAGTCTGTTATTCGCACCAGGACCCTCACGTACGAAGTGAGACACATTGTATAGCTCGTGCGAACGCCCCACTCCTCTTCATTTTTCTAGTCTCATTCTCGTCCAGTCCCCTTTTTAACGGTTTTTCGAAGCCTTTCTCCTTTTGGAAACACTGATTCACGCAGTTCATTCACCTTCATCGCACTATATTCGATCTTGTCTTCCATTTTTCATCATAATCTGGATTACCCCAAATCATCGTGAACTGGGCCTTTAATGTGTCGATAGCTTATCTTGGTCAAGACAAATCTATGAACTGTACTTAAGCTAGGGATAACGAGCGCGTAGTCGGTGCGCCGCAGGACCCAAAATGAGATTTCCTCAGTAGACAGTTTGTTTGATTACCAAGCTTCGAAGCACCTGCAGCTTCATTGCCAGCACAAATGATCTCTTGCGTTTAGTCAGAACTCAACCATCGATTAAATCAATGCTATAGTTGCACAGTGATTTATCCAAGTCCCTTTCGACAAAACCCTAAATTCGAGTGTTCAGGGTGGTCAATTGCAGTTGGCACTGCTCGGGAAGAAAAGTTACTAAAATGTCCACTGTATTTTTTTAAGACGATTTGCATTTTAGAGTGGACGTTCAACTTGATTTTACTGTTGACTAATTCCCATAAAAAGTAGAGTTGGTAAAGGGAAAAACGGATGGAGATGCCAGGCTGTCATGAACGGGTAGTATCTCCCACTCGGCATAGTTTTCATAAGTCACAGTTACTGAGCCTCCCCCTCTCCGATGCTTCCTTTCGTATGAATTTACAGGTGTCCTTTATGGGCTCAGGCTTGGGTGGAAAAAGGGCCCTTTATAGACCTGGGAATAGAGTGAGAGGACAGACTTTTCCTAAGCCCTCCTTGAGTGGGGCGAAAGAGGCTGGACTGATTTGATCAAGTAATATTATCAGTTAATGCTTCTGTGCCAAACAGGTTTTTATTGGTAGAACATTTATTCGCCTGACGTTTCGACAAACTCGTCGTTATAAAAGGCCTGAAAGCGTATCGTAAGTTCATAGTGTTACCTATCACGTTTGACGTAGAACAGCTCTTAGCTAGTTGCAGTCAGACCGATGAACTAGCAACTAAGTAGAAATTCCAACAAGTCACTCACTTCAATTCCACCAACACCGAACATTGCTCAACTTCAGAGACGATAGAGCAATTGAGACAGCCCGGTCAACCACGACCCTTTAATAGTATGGCGACGTGACACGTATCAGCCTCTACTATCAGGGCTCACAAAGGGATATAATGCAAGAGGTTACCAGTTATGTTGATGCAGTCGTTCTTCTTATTCATGCTTGGATAGCGGTGTCTTATCCAGAAGGCCTTCAGAGTTTTTCTGGCACCAATACTGTCCTCGTAGGCCAAAATCGTGCATATAACGCCAAAGTCACAACCACCATGACCTTCTCTTCCGTGCTTCCCAAGCTGTGCAATCGAGTTATACCTTTGTTTGCTAGCTAGATGTTCTTTCACACGAACGCATAACTGTCTCCCAGTTTCTCCAATATAGCAAGCATTACATGTCAAACAATGATGCTGGTAAACCACAGCTCTTTGTGCACAGTCTCCCAATTTTCCACACGGGCAGATCACGCAGTTATCCATGATGCAAATCCGGTCATGAAGACGAATTTCTAGCCAACTGGCGTTTGATGTTTTCTCTTGGTGTGTTAACCAAGAAAACGTCATTGGCTAGATCCGCTCTTTTCATGCATTGCTGAACTGCGCTGAATCGATCTGATATAAATGGTAATCGAAGATAAATTTTATCTTCAGTCCCATATGGAAAAGGCTTCAATCCGCCTCGTGAGCCATGCTGCCGCGTTGTGCATCCATTTACATTAGCTATTTGGTGGGCTAACCTTCTGGACTATTCCCACGACTGGTGCGCACCTCCACAGCCGTTCTGTAATGTTCCGCAATACCGCGCGTTTAACAGCTCTGAGATGTGCCGAGATGGCATGATTGATGATATTCTTGGAGCTTCCCTTTCTATACCATTTCACGCTGTATGTTCCACTGGTAACCCTCCCACTTTTCCATACGGGCAGATCAGATCATTAATCAATTTTCGTTACCGCGATTCACTTCGAATCGAAGTCGAAGAAAGAGATATAGAAAGTGATAAGGTAAAATAGACCACATTTTATATCTTGTTCGTTCTCCCACTGAAGAAAATAATCTGATTCGTAAAGAAATAGAAAAGCGTTTGATATTAAAAAAAATTGATATTAAAAAAGCATCCAATCAGATCTACAAAAAACCACAGAGCACTTCGCCAATATTTCAAATGAATCAACTTTTCCAGTGCATTTGCCGTACGTCAGAACGATTTGCATCGAGAATGTGTTGATCTACAGTGTCCAGAGGCGGCTTTCGATAGCGGTATGAATTACTTACTGAAACCCATTTATTTCATAACAAACTTGGTCTGACCCGGAAATTAAGAGGCATAAGTCATTCATCAAGGGACCAAAGTTCTCTGAATGGCAACAGAACACGCAATTTGCACATAAATGCATGCCCAGTCGGCAGAATGTCAGCAACAACGTGATGTCCTGAATTGGACTCTGGGTAGGGTTGGAAGTTGCAGTTGAAAAAGATAATAAATCTATTTTGGGACTTCACCCGTACTAATTTGCTAGGACCATGGCCAGATAGTAATTATGATGGGGAACTGAGAGTTTTTTCATCGACTGAGATTCCGTTAAAAGTCCGGGGTCATGGGTCTTATAGCGTTGCGGCAGCGGCTGTTCCTCTGATTATACTCTGTTCAAGGTCTTCGTTTCGTTAAATAGAAAAGTTCCTTTTTTCTTCTTGTCCTTCTGGAATGGTAAAGGTCAGAGATGGCACTCAACACTCACTATGGGTTTTCCTGGCGGAGGCATTTCCTCCAAAGCAATGAGAACTCGGAGAAAAGAAGGAAGGAAAGCCACAAAAAATTTGTGTGTTTTCTCATTCCAGTGATTGACTATTCGTAAACAAATTCTATTTGTAAGAAAGAACTCTGAAGTATCCAAAAAGAGAAAAAGAACTACTTTCGAATAGTTCTTTTCAGTTTTAATTATATAAATAGATCAAAACAGTCTTTCCCATTCTTACTAGTCAGCCGGCCAGAAAAAAATCTTGAAGTGAGGGTTCGCTAGAAAGTTCGAGGAATTTTTTAGGTGTGAAGAGCCTTGTTGATGAGGATTCACTGAGCACCGAACAATGCCTTGACTGCAGCCAATGTTCATCAAGTGGTTACAGGTAACTTTATTTGTTGTTTTCTCAGTAGCAGAGATTCGGACAATGTAATACTAAGATGATTAAAAAACCAGCTAATCATATACGAGTATTTCCGTAACTAGTATTGATTAGTCTCCCACAAAGTGCTTCCATGAGCTTATTACTTGCTTATCGAAAGATCTGAATAACTACGGCTCCGCGAAGGGCAAAGCGATGCCTTACCTTCAGGCTATTGGTCTATTGAAGGGGCAGTTAAAGGTAATTTTAGAATATCGAGTTTCAGTCGAACAGTAGGAGTGACAGTTTGGAAAAGTGCGAAGGTGGCGAAGAAGTATGCGAAAATCGGCTATCAAGAGAAATGATAAAAAATAATAAAAATAGGGGTTGGACGAGTATGTAACGACAGAAGTCGCGTGGAAGTTTTGGGCGAGTTGCCTAAATAATTTCGCCATACAGCTTGCAACAGTAAGCTGCCTGCGTGCAACGCGTGCGCCCAACTGCGGTTGGTGCAACCTCTACAGCCCTCTACAACGCCGTGAGAACTCGTCCGTCTTTGGGTGTGTACACTGGCTGAGTCGGGTTTGTGGCTTTTACCCTCTATCTAGGCCGTTTCTTAAAGCGATAGGGACTCTTGTGCCCTCCTTGGAGGTCACAGGTTCATCCCAAGGAAAAATCTCAGAATCATTTTTTTGTGAACAGTGTCTATAACCACGCGGACGCGGGAATTTGTAAATAGTTTAAAAATCCGAATGACGATGCATGATACTGGTAATATAGCAATAGTTCAGCGTTTGTATGCGAGTTCGACCAAATCGTGGTGACCGTTTGGTAGAAGGACGAACAGCTTGTGCATGTGCTCATGCAGTACCAGTCAACTGTCACGATCGACTCCATGAGACTCAACATCCTGCCAACATCTCCATGAAAATATACAGCATATGCTACATGAGCGGTAAGTTTACCTTTCAATTTTCCTCCAAAAGTAAATACTGAACTAATTATTATACCAGTACAGCTAAAAAACCGAAACCACAGTATTTCGGTTCAAGTTACTTGAAGGCATCCTTTTCGATTTACAGCAACTACCTTCCTATTTTTTCACGTTCATAAGGATTGGAAATCAACTGAGCCTTTAGATTGGTCGATGAAGGCATCAATCCTATTCCAGATCTCTCTTGTTTGGGTCTTGAAGACACTACGCCCTTCTAGTGATTACGCCTATGGCGTAATCTTAACCCTTTCTTATGACCTTTGTCATTTACGTCGAGAACGGGAATTTGTCTAGGGTCTAGGCTCATAAGGGGGGGGGGGGGGGCTAAAAATTTACCACGTGTATCACCTGTCGCCCTGTTGATAATCGATTTCCTCATCCCCAATTGCTCCTAACGAAAATGTTACCCAGTGGACCCTCCTGGTTTGAGGGATGCGAGGCATAACAGAAAAGGTTTGTAGTAGACGCAATGAGTAAGGGAGTCGGTGGACACGAAGACTTGTATTCTCTATCATGGAAAAGGTCTGAAATCCAAATTGGTGGACCGTATAACAACTGGCCATCGCAAATCATCCCATTCACGATGTCGAGAAAAGCTATTTTCAGCTTTACAAGCTCCGCCCCGTCCACTAGCAGTCAACGAGGGCAAATCGGTCATTTTCACTCTAGAGCCGTTTTGGCTTGAACCATATTGGCGAGAGTTGTTGCTCGATAATCTAACATTCCACTACGACTTCAATGTCAAGGTATGTAAGTCAATTTCAAACACTTTAACTTTTCAAATAATCGAACAATTTGCTCAAAATCAAAAGGTAACGTGAAAATTCCCGACTGAAAGCGAGCCGTAGAAGCTGGGTAGTGTTTAGTGGCATCACCCACTCTCACCCGAAATATGGGCTCAAAAGTTTCAACTCGAATCAAGCCCTTATATTACTCTGAGTATGGCAACCGGTATCTCAGCTAATCTCCATTGCGAAGATCAAGCTATATGAAACGACGTCTCGAAGGCTGTCCTGATAGGCGCTCCTCCAGGACTGTTTTCGTGCACCTTTACACTTTTGGAGACCTTCTATCCTTCAGGCTCCGGAGCACTGCGAAGGCACGGTGACGACTTTAGATGATGGCCAGCACCTCTGTACCAACTCCATTGCTCTGAACATAACGGTCGGTGGTGTGACCGGCGACGATGAGCATGAAGACGAAGAATATGAGCATAGTGAAGCGAGTTCTTTGAAAATTGTCTAAATTTTTTAATCAGATCAAGTGATTGTCCTATTTCAGAACTACGATCAGTACGACGATGACTTGCCAGAAGAAGTAGAAATCGACCGCGATATCTTTGCAGGAGCACCAGAAGTTCAGGTGTACTACCTCGTTGACGTGAACCGACCAAGACAGTTGGAGGTCAAGGTTAGCTCACGATAGAAAAAAAAAACAAGCAAAGTGCTGTACGAAGAAATTAGGAAGGAAATTATTTGGAGCTCTAATTACGAGTCAACACTACAGTTCAACCTTCAGGGCGGCTCCATCACAATTCATGATGCCAAGACATCGGTCGAGTCCGAAATACTCAAGTATGATCTTACTGCCGGATACCAACCAACAGAAGATCTTCCAGCTGTTACTGGTTTGCATGTTCAAAGATTTGTATAATTAGTTTCTAGTGGTGGCGGTTGCGTAGGGTCCGGACTCATGGATTGACAATCGCTGAAGCCCGCCAGGCCTTACATCACCCTGAGATTGGTCAATTGGTACCGAAATCGCCAGCAAAGATTAAAGCATTGACTTGTACTGGGCTTGACTGTACTTGTACTCGCGAATTTCTGCAAATCGTTTTATAAGCCATACACGCATCCAAAACGACACTGCGACTCTGAATGGAAGTCGAGTGCGGGATCGATTGACAGGAACCACTTGGTCCTGGGTGTGGTGCAGTAGGAACGAAATTGCCGCGACGCGGCGAGAGAGACGCCGCGCGCGAAGGAATGTAGCAGAATGCAGCAGCAAGCAGGAAATACATGGACAAATGAACTAGCAGTAGAACCATGCCAAAAGTAATAATCGCATAGCGATTGAGCTGTATGAAGAATGCTAGAACTGTTATACGAGGCACGAGGCAAATGGCCCGCGACAGTCGCGTGCGGCGGATCGATTACACGAGCGTAAGCGGGGAACTACCATCCGATTGCAAGCGGATCAAATCCTGTATAGACATCTACCTGGCCAAGAAGCCTTCCGTCCTCTCAAGGACATGTAATTGTATAGAAACTCTCTTAATAGACAATTGGGAAGATCAGTTTATTAACTTGCATAATTCTTGCCCCTGTAAGTCATTTCATAGACGAAGTAAGTCGAATCCCAATAGAGGTGGAATGAATAGAGGCATCCCGAACAGGATCGGTCAACTTCAAAGCTTTCATTATCTTTTTTTTTCGAGTTTCTAAGCCGTAAGCGAATATTTGTGGCGGTGACGACCGTGTATACTAACGTCTTCCTTCGAAGACAGTGGGCACGTCCGTATGAGAAACGGGTCACAGAACTCGCACAGGTGCTCATCCCGCTTGAGATAAAGACCCTTTGAAAAATAAGGAAACTTCTTAAACATGACCATAGAATTAACTCGAGAACCCTTAATCGGCCAGAGAACGGGCAGCAATGAAGCTGTTTCCGAAAAGCTGATAATTCTACTGTTCAGAAACCCAAGATGAAGGTGAAGACACCAGTGAAGAGCAAGGTGGTATCGATAATTTTGAAAACCATAGACCATCGAAAAGTAAGGAGCGTGAACCTACAAAGGTATGTTGCACTTTTTTCCTGTGATTGTTTCCAAGCAAATACCTCTGACTAATTTAAAAATTTCTTTCTCGCTTACCGCAGCCTGCCTGTCTCATTCTCACCCTCTTTATTTAGGACACAAACACCAAGGGCACAAAGTTTTAGGTTGAGTCATAAGTCCTCGGACAAAGTGAGAGTGATGACTTCTGGAGATCATAACTCGGGGAAGAGCCGACGAAAATGGACGCGCGAGGCATCGTTAGATAGAGTATTGAAAGCTCTTTCGAATACATACTAACGAGTTTACCTGACCATTTCCTGCGCTTGAGCGTGAGGGGAGAAAGTGCCATGTCGGCGCAAAAATCCATGTCATACTGCTNCAAAGCATGAGACACCCATCGACCGAGCTTTCGCACCTTGCCGATTGACTTCAATCCACGAATGATTGTGGACTGGCTCCTCAAGGGTGACTGCCAGTTTACGAGTACTTCGATTCGAATCGGCTTCCACCTGGCTCCGCAGCACCTCCAAATCCAACTCCATTGGGCGTCCTGGACGGTCTTCATTTTCGATGGAATGGTTGTCCGACGTGAACTTCGTGTGTCACTTGTGAATCGTGCATCTAGCAGGAGCACCCTTCTTGTAAACTCCCTTGAGACGTCTATCGATCTCCGCGGGTTCTTGGCCAGATAAAAAAAGAAATAGGATGGTGTCGCGGAAGTGGAGTTGCGACGGCTTGAAATCATGGGGCGTGGTTGCAGGTAAGGAAATAGTTAGGTGTGCTCGTTAGTATGTATTCCAAAGAGCTTTTCATACTCTATCTAACAATCCTAGACGCGTCCATTTTCGTCTCCTCTTTCCCGAGTTATGATCACTAGGAGTCCGCTATCATTTTGTCCGAGGACTTATCTCAACCTAGTACAGTACATAGTACAAAGTATTGTCCAGCATAGTCTTGTTCCCTGCTGTTGTTCCAGGGCGAAATGCATGATAAGAACGTGAAAACTGATGTGAAAAGTTCTGAAGCGAAAACTACAACAGAAGAACCACAAGTCGAGCATGAAGAGGAGCATGGAGACGACGATAACGGTAACTCATTTGGTTGAAATTACGCAAAGCCAAGTAAATTATAAACGGGAGAACTCGAGACCGTGAGTGATGCCAGGAAAAGCTGATATGAATGGGGAGAGATGGGGAAAATGCCCTTAATAAGATTGAAAGTCTGAGCGAAATCCTCATTAACGCATTTTCGAAAGGGTTCATAAAGAGCAGGTTGCACGAGAGGCGAGGGACAAAAGAGAGTGAATCGGCGATATTGAACCTTACTGTTTTCGACTTTGAAGTCAGTAATTCGAACCATCTCTTTAAAAGAAGGTGCCGATGCAATTCTTTTTTCAATCCTTGTCATCAGCCCTCATTCCCACCAATAATGATTTGAACAGATGTCATAGAGGAAATCCGCTTTAAGCAGTGACCATGGAAAACCAACAAGCGAAATATTATAGATGGTAATTGAATATCCTTCTTATATATAAAGCAGTAACTTGGTTTGTCGGTTTGTCGGTATGTCTGTTTGTCGGTCTGTCCGTCCGGGTTACTTTGTGATTATGATAAAGGTAGTGATATGGGAAAGTTATCCTCCTTATATAAAACAGTCACTTCGTGGGTAGGTTAATGGAGTAAAGTGAGCAGTGCGGAGTGAAGTGAGTAATATGGAGTGAAGTGGGTATTTCAAACTGTGATTTCTACTGTACTGTACTGGCAGTACTTCAACACTGTTACTTGATCGATACTGGTATAGAATAATAAGAAGGAATGCGAAGGAAGGGCAGAGGTGGTGTAGTGGCAAGTGGCGCACTATATCACACGCTCGGTCAGGGGTTCGAATCCCGGATCGATGCCCGCCTAGGCCATCCAAGCCTTCCATCCCTCCGGGGTCGGTGAATTGGTACCAGACTCGTCTAGGAGGATAAAAGCGCTGACTTGTACATCGGCTGGCCACCGCAAGTCATTGTATAGGCCACATACGCACTCATTACGCCACTACGATTCTGAATGGTAGTCGAGTGCGAGGGTGTATCCCTCAGACGGGATTGATTAACGCCAAAAAAAACTTTTAATTTTTTTTAATAAGAAGGAATACAAATAATACAATCAATGTTGATTAATAATAATAAGAAATACCATAAATAATTTGGTAATTCAACGGAATGTTACCGAAATCAGATGGGAAAATGATGGCCCTGGCAGAACGTACTTGGGTGGCGTGCTTATGAATAAATCTGATTCTGGATCCCTATAGAACTCTATATCCCTATTTCAGAACTTACTACGACTATGGTGACCCCGAAGACGACAGGAGAACAAGTCTACGTGAAAACAGAAGCTGATGACGACGAGGAAGTAGAAGAAGATAAGAAGAAGGAGGATGATATAACCGAAGCCGACGGAAGCCACGAAACCGAAGAAATTACTGAATCTACTGCGAAAGCAGATGACGACTCAGTTGAAGCAAACGCGAAGCATGAGGAGAAGATGGAAAAAGAGGGGGACAATGAAGAGGAAGAGGAGTCAAGTGAGCAGCATGACGAGGACGATGACACCGAAACCGATGAGGATGAAAAGGAGAAAGACAATGACGAGGTAACATGCTGTTCTAACAACCATTCTAAAGATTAATCTATGATCCATGATATATATAAACCGCTAACTTTGTGTGTCGGTTTGTATGCCCGTTTGTGCGTCCGCCACGTAGGCACGATAAGGATTCACGTAAAATAACACGTAAGCTTGGTGGAGAAGTAATATCCTACTTATATAATCGGCTAAGTGTGTCTGTTGGTGTGTTTGTGTGTGTGTTAGTATGTGTGTGTTGGTCTGTCCTGAAACTCATAACTCCTGTCCCAATGGACCTAGAGCATTCAAGTTTGAAAAGGATGGGAACACTGATGGCAGATGATAGGAAGTGACAACTATCGTTAGAAATGAAAAAGGAACCTTACCAGGGAGGGGTAGTCTACTTATCTTGGAACTTTGAATTCAGACCCAGATAAATAGATAGAGTTTCGGATGCTGTTTACGAAAATGCAAATTAAAACTGCAAAATGATTCTCCTTAAAAAGTTGTGGGGGTCCGAAATTTGCTCGACAGTAGTATCAATTGGAAATGCGAACTCGTCGCTTCCATATCAAACGCCCACGTGACCTAGTGGTAGTGGTCTCGCTTCGTGGGCCTAAAATGAGGGGTCCCTCCCCGCCATTTTCCGCACTTTGCAAAGTGTTTTTTCATTTTATGGAAGGCTTTCTAAACGTTTTCTGACATTTCTTTAGACAACTGATACTACTGTCGAGCAAAATTCGAGCCCCCATAACTTTTGAAGGAGAATCATTTTGCAGTTTTAATTTCCATTTTCGTAAACAGCATTCGAAACTCTATCGATTTATCTGGGTCTGTATTCAAAGTTCCAAGATAAGTAGACTACCCCTCCCTGGTAAGTGGTGAAGATTTGCTGGAAAGTGGTAATCCTTGATGGTGTTTGTTTAATGATCACGTTCGGGAAATGGGTACTCGGGAACGGTGATGTTTAGTCTAATGAAGCGATGTCGGTTTGGTCAAGAAGGGCAGTGCCTTTCGATAAATCGTTCTATTGAAGCTGAAAGACAATACTCTTATGGATGTCCAGAAACCCAGTCCTAAAATTGATGTTTTTGTCGCTGAGACATTCCCTCGGCAATCAAATTTTCTTCGATTCTTTTGGAATATGTGCCACTTATAGATCTTTGCACTATCGAGTTATTCTCTTAGAAAATCAAGTGTTACGGACAATCTTGTTCGATAAACATTTTCCTACCTTTTCACGAGAATCGGTGATCCTAAAATCCATGATCGATTGTCTTAAATGAACAATACTTACTAGTCATACACAAG